CTTCGACCCCCCTCCTTCATTTTCTGAAGAAGGGTCTAGGCTCGAAACGTCAGCCTTCCTGCTCCTCCGATGCTGCTTGGCCTGCTGTGTTCATCCAGCTCTACACCTTGTTATTTCTGTTTCAATAGCTGGTGGGGTTAGACTAAGGAAAGACTGAGGCATCACACCCACCCTTTCCCAGGTTTGCCAACATGGCCGAGGATTCACCTTCGATACCAAGAGGAGAGGGATGGTAAGGTTGCAGGACAATAGGTCTAACCCAGGACCCCAGAAAAATCGCTGGGCGATCTGCTTGCCGGTTTGCAGCAATGGCAAAGCCCGCTCAACAACACACATCAAAATGGGCAGTAAACATGCAACAAGAAAGTCTTTCCTTTGTGGCCGACAGGTGTACCATAAACAGCCATTCTACGTCATGTGAACAAGCCACAAGTCTTTTTTTCCCCTGGTTCTGCTTTGCTACATACTGGCACTTTAGAACAGGCCAGGCCAATTCTTCAAAACGTTGCTCATCTTTTCCTCCAATTTTCACGACTCTGATAACTGGGCTCCGCACCACATTAACCTGCCCAGCTTCATCCACAAGGGTTAGGCAAACTCTGTAGACTGGGGTGGGGAGGGTGGAATGTTACAACCAGGAGCCCCATCATCCTCTGGCTTCATTGTTTTCTCTTCCAACCTATGGGATCATTGGAAGCTAACAGTCATGGCCACAAGCTATGACTGTTCAACTCAACAGGGATATAGTGGATCACATCCTGGGCCCTTGTTTTGTCAATGTGTCTTAGTAGGCATAGTTCACACTGGGACAGAACACAGAAAGGGAAGGCCAGCCAGCACATAGACAGACAGTCAACACAGCCAATTCTTTCTAAACACAAGGGGGCTAGTCACATCTTATATTACAACCCTCACTAAACTCTTCCCAATTTTTCTCACCGCACGGGCGAAGAGAACTCCGTCGATAACTGCATGAGATAAACCCTAAATAAAAGCGCTTTACTGCTGCGCTCCACTCCACTTAATATGCGTGCAGCTCATGAAATATTACAACATTTACAGTCTTTTCTCACTTACAAGTCAAACCAACTGACCCCAGAGTACAATAAAAAGGCAAATAGTCAGTCTTTTGAGAAGGTCAGTTCATTTGCAAAGCAATCGCAGTTTGCACCTTTTTTTTTTGTTTCTTTCCCCCCTCTATTCAGTTCATCCCTCAGGCAACACATTCTTTTCAATGTGTTTTGCCCCACTCAGTCTACCTCTCCCTCTCTCTCTCTCTCCGAACGAGCCAGTTCACCATTCATCATCTTTAGGGGTGGATGGAGATTGAGCCACCTGTTCCTCTGGGGCTTGGACCACTCGCTTTTTATTGGCACAGCAGGGCTTGAAGAGCTGAGGGTCAATTAACACCTCCCCAAACCGACCCTTGTAAATGATTCCACAGCAAACCTTCTGCCTGCAGAGCAACGAAAGGGGAAAAGGTTTAGAAGCACAAAAAAGAACAAGCTGGTCCGTCGAGCCTACCTCAAGTTGACGATGAGTAGATGCAAGATTAAGACTGCATCCAATAATGCATGTGCAGCTGGCCAAAACAGTCTCACTGGAAGTCATGAACACTCACTTCAAGAGTTGGGATGTCATATTGCATTTGTACAGGACGTAATTGAGGGCACTGTTGGAGTACTGTATACAGTTCTGGTCGGCCTTCTATAGTCATAGAATCCCTACAGTGTGGAAACAGGCCCTTCGGCCCAGCAAGTCCACACCAACCCTCAGAGCATCCCACCCAGACACATGCCCTTATAACCCACCTAATCTACACATTTCTGAACACTATGGGCAATTTAGCATGGCCAATCCACCTAGCCTGCACATCTTTGGACTGTGGGAGGAAACTGGAGCACCCGGAGGAAACCCACGCAGACACGGGGATATTGTGCAAACTCCACACAGACAGTCGCCTGAGGGTGGAATTGAACCCGGGTCCCTGGTGCTGTGATGCAGCAGTGCGAACCACTGAGCCACCGTGCCACCATATAAGAAGGATATTATTAAATTAGAGAGGGTTCAGAAAAGATATACCCGGATATTACCAGGAACAGAGGGTGTGAGTTATAGGGAGAGGCTGGGACTTACTTAACTGGAACATAGGAGGCTGAAAGGTGACCTTACAGAGCTTTACAAAATTATGAGGGGCATAGGTAAGGTGAATAGCAAAGGTCTTTTGCCTAGGGTAGGGGAGCTCAAAACTGGACAGCATATTTTTAAGGTTGCGAGAAGAAAGATTTAAAAAGGACCTGAGGCTGACTTTTTCACACAGAGGGTGTTTCATATGTGGAATGAACTGCCAAAGGAAGTGGGTAGATGCAGGTACAGTTACAACATTTAAAAGACATTTGGACAGCTACCTAAATAGGAAAGGTTTAGAGGGATATGGGCCAAGTGCAGGCAAATGGGACTAGTTTAGTTTGGGAAACTTGGGTGGCATGGACGAGTTAGACCAAAGGGTCTGTTTCAGCGCTGTGGGATTCTATGTCCCACTCCCAACTTCACTCACAAAACACATTCATTCCCTCAGGTCCAATAAGAGAGATTTATAAACAAACTTTACATTGGGATATTCTTCTCAAAAACATGTATTTTTAAAACACTGAACAACGTCTCAAGTCACTTCACAGGAGCGTTGTCAGATGATAAAAATTGACGCCGTGTCACACAGTGACCAAAGATTTGGTTCAGAGTAAGGTTTATGAAGCATCTTAAAAGGAGGGAAGGTTGAGAGCTTTAGGAGGGGAATTCCAGAGCTTAGGGCCTAGCGGGTTGTAATTACAGGCAGCAATGGTGTGGGAAAAGGAAGCTGTGATGAAGGGCCAGACTTGGAGAAATGCAGAGTTCTCAGATTATCATGGAATTGATGTGGGGGTCCAACTCTTGAAAAATTTGAATAGGAGAATGAGAAAGTTGATTGTCGGTGGCATATGATAATGTCACAGAACTTTTAATCTGGAACCTCGGGAGAATGTTCTGGAGACGTGGGTTCAAATCCCACGATGACGGCTGGTGAAATTTGAATTCAACAACAAAAACTTCAGACATGAAAAACTGGCTTATTAGCAACCGTGTAACCACTGTTGGTCATTGTTAAACACCCATCGAATGCCCAAGTGTCCTTTACAAAAGGAAATCTTCCATCCTTACATGGTCTGGTGACTCCAGACCATGTGGTTGACCCTTAACATTCTGGGCAATTAAGAGATGGACAATGAAGGCTGGTCTAGCCATTGAGCATGGAGAGGCCAACGAGGAGATAGGAAGGAGGAAGAGGTGGAAGTTTACAGACGTAAAAGTAACAGGGTTTGGTGACGGCGAAATACGGAATCCGAATCCCTATGATGAACTGGATGTTGAAGCTATGAACCATCTGTTCAGTAGCTGAGGGAGGGGTAAAGAAATTGATGATGAGGCAATAGAGTTTGTGTCAAAAGCATTAGCAATGATCTTTATCCTTCCAATATTTAATTGCAAGTGACTTCAGTTCATCCAGGACTACAGCAGTTTAAGAAAGAAGTCCAATCATAGTCTTTTCAAACCTAACTAGAGATCTCATCGGAGAACCCCTGAGGAAGAGTGATCGTAATATGATGTTTCATGTGGAGTTTGAAAGCACTGCAATCGGGTACAAAACTGGGTCCTTAAATTTAAACAACGTCAATTACATAGGTATGAGGGCTGAGTTGGCTAAGGTCGGTTGAAACATCATATTAAAAGATACAATGATCGATTAGGTAAAGGCAGAGCCAGGAGATATGAGGAGGAATAAGGAAATGACGGAGCTGTTAAATATTTTGTTTCTGCCTTTCACAATAAAAGCCATTAAAAAAAAAACAGAAACACTGTGTAACCAAGGGGCTAATCAGAGAAAGGGCATTAATGCAAAGAATATTAGTAAAGAAAAAAGTACTGGAGAGATTAATGGAACTAAAAGCCGATATATCCTCTGGATCTTGAGACCTACTCCTAGGATTTCAAAAGAAGCGACTGTACATTTATGGATGCACTGGTCATGCTCTTCCGAAGTTGCCTTTGTGCTGGAATGAGCCTTGAGGACAGGAAGGAGAAAGAAAACAGGGAACAACAGGAGACTGAGCCTGATATCAGGAAAATGCTAGATTCCATTAAGGAAGTATCAGCAACACTTAGAAAACTGTAATATAATTAGTCACTCAATAATACTTTACATAAGTGAAATCATGTTTGACAAATTTACTGTTTTTTTTTGGAATTTGTAACAAGCAGGGTAAATAAACCAGTAGATTTAGCGTATTAGATTTTCAAAAGATAGCAAAAGGTTTTTTTGCACAGAATACGGGCTAAAGGTTAAAATATTAGTATGAATGAATGAATTGTCAAAAGATATAAAGTTGATCAAGAATAAGTGGATATATTTCTGGATGGCAGGTTGTTATTAGCATAGGTGTTGCAATGATCAGTGCTGGGGCTTCAGCTATCCTCAATCGACATGAATGACTTACATTACGTTCAGTCGCTGTGCTTCCAAGATTGCTGACAATAGAAGTAAGCATGCAGATACAGCCAGCAATTGGGAAAGCAAATGATATGTTGGCCTTTACTACAAGAGGTTGCACTGCAACAGTAAGGAGGAACTACTGCAATTTCACAAGGCATTATTACGGAGACCACAGCTGGAGTACAGTTTTAGTTTTTGTACCTGAGGGAAAGATGCATTTATCTTAGATGGTGGGCAGCAAATGTCTTTCTTGGGACGTTGTATAATGAAGATAGTTTCGAGTAAAAGAGGTTAGAGGACTGAAAGATGATCGCATTGAAATATAAAAAATTCTGCAAGGGCTAGGCAGGGTAGACACTGAGAAGCTTCTTTCCTCTAGTTGAACAGTCTATAATGTGAAGGTTTTGTCTCAGGATAAGACCATTACAGAGTAAGAAGAATCAGCCATTTGCTGAATACTCCAGATTCCCATGTTTTCCTAATCAAGAACCTTCCTTGGTTTTAAAAAAGATCATAGATTCTGCCTCTAATGCATTTATTGAGGAAGTGAGTTCAAAAGGCTCACAACCCTGTGAGGAAAAATGAATTCTGAACCCAGTCTGAAATGGCTGGCCCCTTCTAGTCCCTGGGTCTTGACTGCCCGACAAAAAGAAACATCCTTTCCAGATCCACCCTGTCAAAATCCCTGAGGATCTTATACATTTCATTCTAATCACTCCTTACTCTTAAATTCCTGGTGGGGGTCTGAGGAAGAGCCATCTAGACTCAAATCATTAGCTTGCTGTCTCTCGGTGGATGCTGTCTGATTCACTATGATCCCCAGCATTTGCTGGCTTTCTGTACAGATTCCAGCATCTGCAGTAATTTGGACCAACAGTGAATGTAAGCTGAAGCTGCTCAACCTTTCTTCATAAAACAGCCAGCCCATTCCAGATATCAGTGAAGTACTTGCATTCTTCTTTAAATATCGCTTGAAATGTAAATACACATTACACCAGATGTGGTTGCAGCAATGCCCTGAACACCTGGAACAGAACCTCCATAATTTTATATGCCATTCCCTTTCCATTAACAACACCATTCTATCTATCTTGTTAATTACCCACTTTTACCAACGTTCTCACTTTTTGTGATTCATGTTCAAGGATACATTGTCTAAGTGCCTGCTTTCAGGTGAGGTGTTAAACTGAGACCCAATCTGCCATCCTTAGGTCGATATAAAAAAAAATCCAATGACAATATTTTAAAAGTACAGCATTCTGGCCAGTGCTAACGCTCAACCACTCTCAGTTTATCAACAGTTTATTTTCTCAGTACATCTTGCTCAATACAATTCCGCGTAGCCGACCAATGGAAGCAGCATAGAAAACGGACGAAATGTGTACCTTTTCCAGTAAGTGAGGTCTAAGAATGAGAAGACAGGCACCCTGTTTGATCCAGACGCCATCTCTGCATCGGAACCCTCATCCGAGTGATTACTGTAGCAGGGGGATTGTGCTGGAGACATACTGGATGTTGTACTATGCGCATCAGAGTCTGTAGTTAAAGAAAAAAATAGGATTAGGGAATCAAAGGCCACAAAGATCATCATGAGCCTACTTCAACACAGCAAATGCATCAAATTCCAATCAGTCCCACTTATTCAAATGCATAAACTTGTAGGGATGTTAGAACTGTTCACCAGTTAGATTAGAGGTTTACCCATGCATGATTCCAACACCTTAATACCCTCACTGAAGAAGAAAAACCTAGCACTGGCCCAAATCTTTTCACACCCTGTTTGCTTTTAATTCCGCCTCTCCCTTCCCGTCAATTCTTTGCAAAAATTCTTCTCTTCAAACGCGCAGGTGCAAAATCCTGCAGGTGCTGGAAGTCAGACATCAGAACAGAAAATGCAGAAGCAGACGATCAATTTGAAAATTCTGTCAACTCTGTACTTCTCCCCACAGATGCTGTCAGACCTGCGAAGTACTTCCAGCACTTTCTGTTTTTAATTCTGCAGACAGCTACTGCAACTAATACACAAAAACACGGGTTATACTAGAACAGAATCTTCACTCAAATCCAGATAGCCTTCAGGATCTGGAACTGTGTTGTTCCTTACTCTTTGTCTTCAGTGGGCTGGTACAAATGAACAACAGGGGAACTGTTTCTTAGGATCATTGAACAACAAACCACGCCAGTTCTTGTAATAGGATATCTCTATCCAATTAGCCCCATTCCTCTGAGCTTTCCCAACAGCCTGGTAAATGTTCCCTTTTCAAGTATATATCCAATTCATTTTTTGAAAGGTAATGGACAATCTTCCTCCATCCATTCAGGTAATACATTCCAAACCACAACATCTTGCTGTATAAAAACATATCCTCATCTTTCCTCTGCTTCTATTGCTAATTGCTTTAAATCCATTCCTCAGAGTGGAAAGTCTGTACCTATTTACCCTATGAAAATCCCTCAATGTTGAGCACTCCTAGTAAATCTCATCATAATATTCTCTGTGTGAAGGAGAATAATCCCAGGATTTCCAGTCCTTCCATGTAACTGATAGCCCTCAACATTTAGATCATCCTTCCTGCCAAAGTGGATAAATTCACATCTACCTATATAATCCATCTGCTAAATTTAAAGGTCCACCCACTTAACTTATCTATGTCCCTCTGCAGATTCCTCAGGTCCTCTTCATAACTTACTCTCCTTGAGCCATCAGCCAATTTGGCGACCATACATTTTGTCCCTTTGGCCAAGTGAGGGGAGGTGATGGCCCAACGGCATTATCACTGGACTATTAATCCAGAGACCTAGGTAATGTTCTGGGGACCCAGGTTTGAGTCCAACCATGGCAGATGGTGGAAATGGAATCCAATAAAAAACAAAGTCTGGAATTAAGAGTCTAATGATGACCATGAATCCATTGTTGATTGTCGGAAAAAACCTCATCTGGTTTGCTAATGGCCTTTAGGGAAGGAAATCTTAAATTCTCATTTCTAACTGGCTTGCGAACAGTCCCCTCCTTTAAATCCTTATCTGGTCTGGCCTAAATGGGACTCTAGACCGACAGCAATGTGGCTGACTCTTAACTGCCCTCTGGGGCAATTAGGGATGGGCAATAAATGCTGGCCTAGCCAGTGACACCCTCATCCCATGAATGAATAACAAAATAAAAAGTCATTGATGTAGATTGTGAGTATTTGAGGTCTGAGTACGGCACTCCATGTGTCACATCTTGTCAACCGCACTGGTATTCTACACATAACGTTGCAAGGCACTCCTGCTTTAAGACTCCTTAACAACTTATCTTTCATTGCATATATTTTTGTAAGGCGCTACTCAACATTGATGACATGCATCCATCCACTCAATTTAAAGATAATTTTCCCTCTGGTATGTGTTTCAGCCAGCAAGGTCAAATAGTAATCTTGTCTTACACTCTTCACAAGTTACATTATCCCACACTGAACAATTACTTACATCACATTCAGTGGGTTTACTACCCTCAGTGTGTACACTGAACAGAACCTTTAACAATAACTGTAATATTGTTTTAGGGATGTATCTATTGTTGGGTTTATTTGATGAAGGTGCCAGGGTATGCTCCATATCAGAATGTTAAAATATTGAACCAACCAACCGTTATCACACTGGCGCAGACAGCAATGACTTTTGCAAAGCAACAACACTGTCCCCTCTCTTACATCTCAGCCAAATATTTCATTTCTACAATTGCCAAGATTTGATCATTGACTCTTAGTTCAATTTGAAACTGATAACAACTGGAAAGGGCTCTTACTAAGATGTTTAAGGCTTTTGCTACTGTCAACATTAAGAAGGCCAGAGCATCTTTGCCTTTAATCACTGCAGTTCCGATCGGCCATGGTGCTTTTATCGTGGCCAAGGATTGAATGACCAAGCAGTATGTGGCCAAGATTGATTGGAGAGGAGATGACGGTGTCCCATCTCCGGAACAGAGGTTGCAAATGGGTGGGAGATGCTGTTGAAATAAAAGTTGGTGAGATACTGTAGTGCATCAAACATACTGCAGTTATAATGCCTCAAAGTTGGAGACAGAGTGTAGCGGCTGGGACATGTAAGCTGCTCTGTGTACTCAAGTGCACCCATCCAACGTGTGGTGAGATTCATCACACATCCATCTCTGGTCCTGTAAATGGTGAAGAAGCATGAAGTGGAAAGGAGGTGAATTAGTGGCATGGAATACCCAGGCTATCTTCATGACCACACTGTTACGATGACTAGTTTACCTTTTGGCCAATGGTAGCAAACTGTAACTCCCCCAACCCTCAAGCGATATCGATGTCAGGGGACTCAGAAAAGCAGCAGCTGAGAAGTAGTTTGGCTTCAACTTACTGAGGATGACCATTACCAGTCTTTGATGGGTCAGCCCAAGTCTGAAAGGTCTTGAAGATGTGGATGAAGACTGCAAAATCATCAGTCAACATCCCAGTCCTGTCGTTAGGCTGATGGGGAAGATAACTGTTGAAACAGCTAACGCTGGCTCGGTCAAGGACATCAGCTGAGGAATACTGACAACGGGCTGAGGTTTCTTTTAATCATCAGATAGACGCAGGTGAAGATATTGAGATATTCATGGGCATGTACTGTACCAGGCTATCTGCCAACTGCATTTTCAGTTGCAATCAGTGACTGAAAGCACCTGGGAACCAAACAAAAATATCGCAAAATGCACTTACTCTGCCGTTTGAGCTCTTTCTGGATCTTGCTGATTTGACTGGCTTTGATTCTGTTCCCAGTGAGAGATTTTGCCTTTTTGGGCTTCAATGCTGTCTTTAAACTTGGTCCTGCTCGAACATCAACCACCTGCAAGGCACAGTAGTCCATGCATATAGTTACTGCCACTGATACAGTTGAGAAATACTCCCATCCAATACTCGGACAACACTTAAATTGACAGCACAGCAAATTGGATATTGCACCTTTGCAACAGTATGAAATATTGGACAAATTCATTTGCTGAATAATGACCTGACAGAGTGATATCATTATTTCACATCTTCACACTACTCCCGAGTACATTCTTAGTGGAAATGATTTGAAAACTTTAATTACAGCCTGCACTTGATTCAATGCTGCGAATGTCAAATGACCTTTCTTTTTCCTAAAGACAGCCTCCACTGCTCGCATTGCTTGACCAGGTCACTATTATTTTTGAATGCCGTTTCGGGCATTAAATCATCAGTAGGTCACACACACACACACACACACACACACACACACAGCTGTTGATGGACACAGAATATACTTACATGATTCCAGTTTTTTTTGGAACCAACAGGGAGCTTCTTCCACCGTTTCACCAACAGGACACAGGCATTGCAGATTTCACCCGAACGGGCTTCATTCAACCTGCAAGGGAACGCGAGCAAATCCAACTTGAATGGGTCCTTCCATGAAAAGGTTACACACTTTGTTCATTGTTTAATTCTCTCTCTTTTTATATAAACAAAAAAATCTGGTTTCCCCCTACTTACCCAAAGCAGCTCTGGAAGTCCTTCTCATAGCGTTTGCTATCAGTGAAACGCGAGCTTGATGACTTGGCCCGGCAGATACAACAACCGTCCAGGCTCCGATACATTTTGGGCTTGTGGAAGCCGAACATCTTCCGGTCAACTTAAGAACAAGACACACCCTGAAAGCAAGAGTCGAGCTGTTTAGGTTTAAACTGTAGAACCGCGGCTGGTGCCAGGAGCTACAGAGCGTTTAGGCTGAACCGTCATTTATTTCAGTGCCAGATAAACACACGTGTTTAAATTAGGAAGCTCAACACTGGTATAAAACACTTCGCCACAGACCTGCAGAACTAACTCACAGGCCTGTTAACCATTGCCCCGTCCCCTCCTAGGCTCTTTGCCACTGACTTGCAAAAGTTTTGTTGAATTAAAGATTTGAGAATGAACTTCTAGTTCACTTCAGTTGCCCTGATTTCACCTAAGAATTGACTGCAGTAAATATGGAATGAGACATTTAGTACATTAACCGAGGTCAATTATTTTTATCTGAAATAAGAGTATTGAGTACGTGAAATAGCAGCAGGTAAAATGGAGTCAAAACGTAAATCCAATTGAATGGAACAGACTTGAGGGGATGAATAGCCTTTTCCTGCTCAGAAGGTGTGTCTTAGTTTGGACAGTAGGGCGAACACAATGCAGTTTCTCCTGCCAACATACCTGCTGTGTTACATCTCATATGTCACATATGTCACACTAGTCGTCTTAAACCATCCTTTCCACATCCATTGCAACTGTAACCTCCAACACCCAAGTGTTTATAGGTCAACTCCCCTTCCTGCTGCCTGTCCTCTAGAGGAGATTTTATCACTATTCAGCTCTGATCATTAGATCCAATCGCTCACATTTTCTCTCCTGGTCGTCAATTTTGACGGTTCTTTTCACTCTTGCAATTTCAAGTACCACTTACAGTCTATGTATTTTAGCCGTCGTTGTAGTACACATTATTTCAAAAGCCTTTCTTTCTTCCCACAGATCTTTAATTATCATCCAAGTTTCTGAGGCATAAGAAAGTAGATACATTGCAGAATTTTGTTTCCTGTTTACATTTTATTGAAACACTTTTTGCCAATCCGATAAATTTCCTACAGGATTATTTCGAATGCTTGTCATTTAACCTTTAAAAAATTGGTGGTAGAAAGCATGTTTTTTTTAAAATTCATTTTCAGGATGAGGGCATCACTGGCTAGGCCAGCATTTATTGACCATCCCTAGTTGCCTAGAGGGCAATTAAGAACCAACCACTTTGCTGTGGGTCTGGAGTCACACAAAGGACAGACCAGGTTCTTCCCCAACAAACATCAGTGAAACAGATGGGTTTTTCCAACAATGGAACTCTTAATCCCAGATGTTTATTGAATTCAAATTCAATATTCAGGACTTCAGTATAATATTGAATTCAGTACCATCTGTCATGGCAGGATTTGAACTCAGTTAATCTGCGGATTAATCTATCTAGTGATAATACCACTGGGCTGTTACCTCACCCAAATTTAATTAAAGTCCCTCCCAGCTGAGGCGCCTCTGTATTGCTGGCATAGAGCATCATACAACTCAATGGAGCTGATGGGACGACAAAGCCAACACAACAGTCTGAATTGGGCAATGATTCTTAGACAACGTTGGCCATGGCCAGCATTAACTGACCATGCCTAGATGCTTAACAGAGTGATATCCATATGTTAAAGTGGACAACTAATCACTTTCAAGAGATTTATAACAGTTTTATTTGGAATCTACATTTTAGCACAAACACCAGTTCCCACCTTTCCCTGTCCAGAAGCTCATACCTCACTGGTGAAGAACTAGGCCTGTTATTCATTTTAAGAACGCACCATCAAATTAAAATGAAAAGACATCAAAAAAAAAACAAATCGCCACAACACAGTAACAATAACAACAGAAAAACCCAGCTTTTATTTTAGTTTTAATCAACATGTCCAGAAATATTACGACATACCTCTGGAGTAGGTGGAACTTGTACTCTAACCTCCTATGTCAGAGGTAGGGACACTGCCACTGTGCCATGACAGGCCCCAAAACAGAATCCTGCTTTCTCTGAACAGTCCCAGCACCAATTTGATGAACTAAACAACTGAACTTGAACCTGGATCTCCTGGCTCAGATGTAGAGCCACTATCACTGCACCACAAGAGCTCTCAAGTACAATGTTCAATCAGCATTGTCTACTCTCAGTCAGTCAGTTCTGGTTGACCCTTAAAGGGATTGCAACCTAACATTGACACTAGTTACCCCAAGAACACCTGGCGAGGAATTCTCCTTCTAAGTCATTTGATGCAGCTATGAGATTTGCTAGGCACTTCACTGAACTGATGAGTCAACCACATCGCCGTGGTCTTGAATCACGTAACAGACATCAAAGAACCAGCTGGATTTCTACTCCAAACCAACTGCTTGAAGGCTGATTTTTACTGCACTGCGTTTCTGTTTCCTCCCTTAAACAGGATCTTCACTACACAGTTCAACAAGACAGCTCACCCTGACCTTAAGACAAAGAAGAATGGGCAAGAAGGAATGGCCTTACCATGAGGGCTGCATCCAGAGAACAGTGAAGAGATGTCCGATTTGAGGAATACTTCAAGCACTTTTTTCTTTGTTTTTCAGATTTCCAGTATCTGTACTATATTAATTTTGCACACACTTTCATATTCAATTAGCTACTCCTAGGGCTGTACATCTCAAAGTGCTAAGTTCTAGCATGACGCATCATTTGGAATGTCTATACTCACCTTTCCCCATTCAAAAGAACATGCTAAGGTAATTACACTGAACAGAAAAGACCATAAACCAGTCTCAGGTATAATTCACGAACTCACACTTTGTCTGGATATCACACGGATTTTTCATTTTGTAGGTGAGACGAAAACCAGAGGACTTAGTTCAAGAACAAAAAGTCTCCCTTTTATACAGAGATGAGGAGAATTATTTCCTCTCAAAGCGTCATTAATATGGAATTCTCTTCCCCTAACATGCAGTGGAGGCTGGTTCTTTAAATCTATTCAAGACGGAGTGTGACAGATAGAGAAGGGAGTTTTATGAGGTGCAGACAGGAAAGTGGAGCTGAGACCACAACCAATCACAATCTTATTGAATGGTGCAGCAGATTTAAATGGGCCACGAGACCTAATCTGAAGTCAAACTAGACTTGAAATGTTGTGTGTTTCTCTCCCTGCAGATGCTGGTAGACTTGCTGAGCTCCTCTAGCATTGTCTGTTTATATTTCAGATCTCCAGCATCCAGACTGTTTTGCTTTTATCCAATGTTCCTTTGCTTCTCAAGATCACAGAGTGTGAATAATACACAGTGGGTCTTTTTCTTTGGTCAAAAGTTAGTTGATTTAAGTTTATTTAATAGCAGCAGAGTCCGATGAAAGATCATCAATCTGGACTGTCTATTCTGTTCCTCTCTTCACAGATGCTGGCTGACCTTCAGAAAATTTCCAGACTTTGCTATCTTTAAAATGGTATGTCCTTAAAGTCATAGTTACATCCCTGAAAATTTAAGTGAAATGATGCTTAGTGAATCGTAATTTTCTATAGAAATCAATGTTAAATTTGAAATTAGGTTCCTTCATACATTTCTTGTTCGGGGTAAAAAAAAAATGTCTAGGCTGAAACATTGTACCATACATATGCAGCACTGTGTTTTCCTAGCTGAAATAACTTGCAACATAAAATAACTTACTAAACATGAAAGAAACATTGAACCGCAAGATATCTTAGAACATTTCTCAGTAGAAAGTAACTTCAAAAGCCATTAATTTTTATATGGTGTGCACTCCTAAGTGCCTACATTCTTAAGTAAAAGAATTCTTAGGATAAAACGCATTTAAAAATAGTGAAGTATGACAAAGTTAACAAATCATAAATTACATTCACCTGATGGTTTAAATAATCAGGCTCCATCTAGGGGCAGAAGCAGATCAGTGCATCTGCATGAAGAATTTCAAACATGCATAAGTCTGTGACTAAAGATATCTCTCCATGCATCAGTTCAAACTAACAAACCCCTTATCATGAGACTGGGGTTTCTGTTCTCTCCAGCCAGGAGAAACAGCCTCTCAGCATCTATCATGTCCTGCCCTTTCAGAATCTTCAGTTTCAAATGAACCATCTCTCATTTCTCCACATTCCGGAGTATATAGACCGTTCTGCTCAACTTGCCTTCATTGAACAATTCTTCTGTCCCAGAAATTAATCTAACAATCCACTGTTGCCGGCAATTTGATCTTTGCTTAGCTACAGTGATGAGGCTGTGTACACTACTTCAGTGAAGTCCTAAATGGAACTGATGTTAACATATCCAAAACCCATTAATTTACACAATCAAAGTCAGGCTTGTGCCTGATTAGTTCTGGACTTTGCTGCCTGGGGAAACAATCTAAGAATGTCATACTTCTCAATTTCATCTTTTCTTCCGGAAACTATCCATGAATAAAGAACGAGATTGCTTTAACAATATTAGCAAGAAAGACAGGCGATTTATTTACTTATCAGGACTGCTACATATTCAGTTTGCTGTATTTTAATCTCAGTCACAGATTTTATCCCTTGCTACCTTACACATTACTGGAGGCTACACAGCGTGCATTCCAAAGCCTGCCACTGCCAAGTGTTTTAATAACTTGGGTATTTAGGGCAGACACTCAACCACTGTTTACCACCGTAATCAGTGCATCAGATGTAAAACTGATATTTGTATCTATGGCAGCTCCAGTTTTCCACTCTATTACGTGCCTGTTCCATGTGGGATAGACCCACGAGCTTTTTTTTTTAATATAAACGCGAGCCTTGTTAATCTGCATCATCGTTGCCAGTGATTTGTGCGCTTGTTCTTCCAGGTTCTGTAGCTCCTTTACCTCATTTCGAACTGTTATTTGCTCAGCATATTGTGACCCAATGTTCCATCTAAGCCACATAACACTCAGACTGGATTAAATGGAAGAACAAGCAGGCCCCATCCAAGCAACATTCCCTTAAGATGCATAAATATCATTTGCAGCTACATGCTCCTTGAAAGCGACCACGCAGCATAACAAGTAGCCACCCACAGTAAACTGAACATACAGGGAACATTCTTGGTGATCTCTATATTTTTCTTATGAAAATATATTTTCTCACTTTTATTTGTGTTGAAATTCATTTCTAAATGTATGCCCATTCTGAGAGTTTATTAAAATCTTCTTGTAATTTGTTGCAGTCTCCCCTGCTATCGTATTAACACCAAATCGGGCAGGATAGTGATCAGCAAGGTTAGAAATTCTGCTTCTCAAACTTAAATTATTCGTAGAAATTGTGAGCAAGAGTGATTCCAGCTCTGATCCTTGTGGCACCCCACTTCTTACCTTCTGCCACTCCAAACAGCAATCCTTTCTTCATTCTCTCTGCTTTTTGTTATCCAATCTGCTACTCGTTGCCTGACTTTGTATTCTTTGACCTTATCCCTCAGTAATTCTGTGGTTCATACTGAAGGCCTTTTGGAAATCTAGGTAAACTACATCCACTGCATTACCCCTCTGATACCACTTCAAATTCAATGAAGCTGGACAAGCAAGACTCTCCCTTTAGAAATTTATGTGACTCTTCATTATCATGCCTTGGGTTTCTAGACATCTTCTATTTTCTCCTTTAGTAGGGATTCCATCATCATTCCTACCATTCATGGTCCATAGTTTTTGGAACAACGTCTTAGATACAGTTACAATGCTTGATCTCCACCAGCCCACTGCATCTTTTCCAAATCAATTAGTAAGCAGGTGTAATAATTCCTCTGCTGTCTCTTCTGTAGATCCTTTTAAAAGATGAAATCTGTCTGGACTAGGGATTTTATCTTCTTTTGAGAATGATGCCTATAGTGGTTCTCTTCCAATTTTATCATATGTCATATATCATATATGTCATAATATATTTTTTTAAGTCACAGCATCCAAATGATCTGGCTCCTGGAAAATTTCAAGCAAAATGTTTAATATTTTGGCATTTTACGACTGATGTCGTGAATATCCTCTGTACCGACCTCAATGGCCTTATTCTCAAGCTGACTTCCCTTTCTTTATTCATGAACCTGTTAAATATTTTACTTTTTTATGTTCCTCGATCATTTGATTTTGTGGTTCCTCTCTGCCATCGCAATTTTTTTTTGAACTTCTCTTTAATTCCATTATATTCTCGCTTGACATATATTCTTCCAGGACTTCCCTGAACACCATTTAAAATGTTTTCCATTGTGTTCTACACTTACATTTTAATATTGTTGTCCACGTTATTGGCCTACCAAGTTCTAGTCCCGGGCTCTTAAAAGTCAACATTTCTTTAATTTATTAATCCCAGTCTTTGTCTTGCCTATCACCATCTTAATTATTAAGTTAAACAGTATAATATTATGGTCACTATTCCCTAAAGGTTCCCCTGCTTTTACTTCGCTCATCGGCACTGCATCTTTCCCGATTACTAAATCTAATTCCAAGTCCTCCCTTTTGGAGCTTCTTACATGCCAACTTAGGACTGAACCCCATGAACTCCAGTTCCTTATCCCCTTTACACATCGCTTCTTGCCAATTCATTTTAGCTTAGCTGAAATCAACCGTTTGATTATTATTCTATGTTTTATGTTTATTTCTCTGGTTTGTTTTTTCCTCCACTGTTAGCACGCTGTCTCTAATAATCGTATTTACTTCAACTTCCCTTTCACCCTCTCTTATTTTTCTTAAATATAAAAATGCAATGTTTAACTCCCCCTTCTGATTTTTCTGTAGTAGTTACTGTTTATGGGAGCCTGCCATGGACAAAACAGTTTTCTAAGAGTGTGATTACAACTCCAAGGATGTAACACCTTCTCCCTTCTTAATCCAGAATCACGTTTGTAGGTTCTGTCCTTTCTTAAGAGCAGACAGTACCGACAGTATTAAAAGGAGCTATGTTCAAACTATAAACTGCAGTCCTGAACTCAAACATCATATGGGATGTCAGTTCGACTTATTACAACATACTTACTTCCCAATTTGTTTTGCTTGAATACCACAGACCTGAAGGATTATCAAGAGCTGTTTTTCTTGAGTTATTTGCTCAATGATGGACGTATCTTAAATCAAGGCTCCAAGATCTAAGAAAACTGAAATAGAGGAAAATTAATCAGAATATGGTTTTAAGCTTCATGCATTTTTCTTTATCAACCTGAAATATCTGGTCTGCCAGAGATATGACCTGGGACTGGTTTATAGCAAGAGTTCCAACAAATTCTTGAATAATGATTGATTACTTAGAAGGTCTGAAATGATAAATGGTCAAACTTCCTCCCATTCTCCTGAAAGTAGACACATACTGGACAAGGGATCTACATGCAAGCAGCTCCAGTCTCCAAACTAATGCAAAAATATAGAACCATGAGGAACTGCAGGCACAGACTGAGCAGGTTCCAGCTCCTTATTCTGGAGAAGGTCTGATGAGGTTGTAATAATTATGAATGGACTTGATGTGGGGAATCTGCTTCCATACCTAATGAGTGATCCAGCTGAAGGGGACATAAATAGAAGGCAATTGCTACCGGATAAAAAGAACTATTTAGAAGTGTTTTTTTTTAAATGGAAAGCAGTGAGAATTTGGAACCTACCCTCACATGGTGTGTGAAAACAGATAGCAGTGATACATTTAAACACAGGCTTGAAGCACGAAGGAAAAGGAACACTGCAATTTGACATTAACGTGGAAAGAAGTTATCAGAAGGGCAGAAAGTCTACGTGACAGAAAGAGTCCAGCACAGGCCTGTCAGTGGTGGGTAAGTTGTTGGAGAGGATTCTGAGGGGCAGGATTTACATGCATTTGGAAAGGCAAGGACTGATTAGGGATACTCAGCGTGGCTTTATGCATGGGAAATTGTGTCTCACTAGCTTGACCGAGTTTTTTTTGAAGAAATGACAAAGATTGACGAAGGCAGAGCAGTTAATGTGGTCTATGTGAACTTGAGCAATGCGTTCGACAAGATTCTGCATGGTAGACTGGTTAGCAAGGTTAGATCACATGGAATTTGGATGCAAAATTGGCTCGAAGGCAGGAGACAGAAGGTTGTTTCTCAGATTGGAGGCCCATGGCCAGCAGTGTGCCGCAAGGATCAGTGCTGGGTCCACTGCTTTTCATCATTTATATAAATGATTTGGATGTGAACGTAAGAGAAATGGTTAGTAAGTTTGCAGATTACACCAAAATTTCTGGTGTAGTGGACAGTGAAGAACTCTATCTCAGAGTACAAAGGGACCTTTATCAGATGGACTATTGGGCTGAGGACTGGCAAATGGAATTTAATTTAGATGAGTGTGAGGTGTTGCATTTTGGCAAAGTAAACCAGGGCAGAACTTGTACATTAAATGGCAGGGCCCTGGGGGCTGCTGCCAAACAAAGAGACCTAGGGATGCAGGTGCATAGTTCCTTGAAAGTGGTGTCATAGGTAGACAGGGTGGTGAAGGCAGCACTTGGTACGTTTGCCTTTCTTGGTCAGTGCATTGACTATAGGAGTTGGGATGTCATGTTCTGGCTATATAGCACATTGGTGAGGCCACTTTTGGAACACTGCGTTCAATTCTGGTCTCCCTGCCACAGGAAAGATGTTGTTAAACTTGAAAGGGTTCAGAAAAGATTTACAAGGTTGTTGCCGGGATTGGAGCATTTGAGCTATACTAAGAGGCTGAATAGGCTGTGGGGCTATTTTCCCCGCAGCATTGGAGGCTGAGGGGGTGACCTTATAGAGATTTATAAAATCACAAGGGGCATGGATAGGGTGAATAGCCAAGGTCTTTTCCCCAAGCTAGGGGCATCCAAAACTAGACAGCATAGGTTTAAGGTGAGAGGGGAAAGATTTAAAAGGGACCTAAGGGACAATCTTTTCACGCAGAGGGCAGTGCGTGTATGGAATGAGCTGCCAGAGGAAGTGGTGGAGGCTGGTACAATTACAACATTTAAAAGGCATTTAGATGGGTATATGAATAGAAAGGGTTTAGGAGGGATATGGGCCAAATGCTGGCAAATGGGTCTAAATCAGTTTAAGATGTCTGGGCAGTGCATACAAGCTGGACTGGACACTCTGTTTCCGTGCCGTAAAACTCTACGTTTCTGTAATTATAACCTTACCCAACTGGTACCTGTGAACACAGACATTGAATGACAACGTCAGCAATAGGTTCCTTCATCTTATTATTTGTAAGAATGCAAGAATCTCTAGACAGAAGAAGTCCAGATCAATCCAGTTCACCTTTTACCACCCTCATAGCTGCTGGTACACCAATAATGTGAGTTATTGATTAATCGTACCAATCAACCGCCATCAATTAGCCTACAACAGACCCAGTCATAAAGTGAGGAAATTCAGTGTCCTTGAGAGCTCTAAAAAAACAAAGCCACATTAACTCAACACAAACAGTAACAGAGCTAATACAATTCAGTGCTGAATAATCTCAATTCTTCCTCATGTTACCTGTGTCTCAACTGTCATGCTCTCAGCACAACACAACCCAAAATATACATTTGTACTTCTCAATATGTCCTGAATGGGAATACTGTGGAGATTTTTTTAAAAATCCACATCCCTTCACTCAAGTGCTAGTGATAACACCCTCAACAAGCAGCTGAATTTATGTAGTATGGGAAAATCTCCCATGTGCTAATGAGAAAGCTTTGAGCAGGGTGATAATCAGCCAGGTCGAAAGTGGTTGGTTTGAAGCAGTATCTTCCAATGAAAGCTGGAGAGACATTCGATAGCACAGCCTTCAATGAAGTGCAAGAGAAGTGGGAAACACGACTGAGCCCAGAATTAATCAATGCAGAGACCTGACAGTGCTGACTGGTTATGGAGATCGGGAAGGTGAGACCATGAGGGAATTGAACAGGGCGATGTGAAATGAAGAAGGTCTGGGCATCAGTGGACCAGAGTCAATGTAGGTGGGTAATTGTAGAGCAAATAAACAATTATTCAGGTCATGTCAGCTTTTCCAAAGAGTTAAACAATTTGTTCTACATGCTCCCATAGGCCTGAAAAATGTTCTTCCCCACGTGTTTATCCAATTTCCTTTTTTAAACGCGACTATTGAATCTGCTTGCACCACTCTTCTATGCTATGTATCCGAGCTCCTAATTCGATGGCTAAATCCATTCCTCAGCGCCTCTCTGGTTCCTTTGTCAATTATCTCAGGTCTGGGTCGACCCTGCTTGTTTGGAAACCCTTGCTTGCGCTTTCGAAATCTTTCATAATTTTGAAAGCATATAGGGACCTTCTCGGTCACCCGGGTTCCTCCTGAGATGTAGGATGCGCTAAGTGGCGTCAGATACTCAGCTACAAAAACAAAGCAATAAAAGGTGACTAGGGGCAAAAAAACCACAGGAAAATTCATCAAACTGTCGCAGGGAGGGCGGAAGTTAATGTTTCAGGTCGATGGCCCTTTCGTGTGTTTACCCATTCGAGCCATCCAGCACCCAGAAATACTGCTCACAAACTCTACTCCCATGCTTTGAGAGAGAGAGAAATAAATCCAACCTGACCATGTCTCCCTGTGATCCTGTCCATTTTGGCTGCGTCTTTTAGAAGCTATAAAGGAAACGGACTTTTCCTGGTTAAAACTGCCCAGGACAGACAGAGATTACAACTTAATACTACGTTAGCATCGCCCTCATTTCTGAAGCGTTTGTGTGTAAGCTTATATGTATTTTTTAAAAAATCCTACACTGAAGCACCGCCACCAGTGCAATATCGCAATCGCTGTCTCAGACGTGTCTGGGAGGTGGGGTCGCACGCTGCTTGTTGTTTGGTGTGTGTGTGTTTTAATCCTACAGACTCGTCTTTCTTCCGCTGCCTTTCTGACCACGCTGCAATCGCTTTCAAATTAAAAAAAACACCATCCGAAACCCGACACTTTCTCTTTCCTTCGACAATAAAAAAAAATGTCATTCATCACAACACCGGAAATCTGCGAGCCACAAACCACCGGACCAACGAGAAAGGATATAGGTCCAACCTCCACCCAGTTCTTACCACTGAAGTATACCCAAAATGATAAGATGCGCTGATCGCAACATTAAGCGCCTCAGGTTGCTAACTATTTCTGAATGGCGGGGGAGGGCGGGGGGTGAAGGGACAGGGGTGACATGTTTTGAAAATAACACGCAGATCAGTGCAAAAATAAAGTGGAAGCCGAATTTCTGATTGGAAAGATGTGGGATGGACTGAGTGAGCGATCCACGCTGCTCTTTGTTTTCAGACTCTGGCGTGCTGCTGCCTACGTGCTGCATCACCTCCCCAACACTGGGAGACAATCTTCCCTACACACACACACACACACACACACACAAAAAGACCCCAGCAAACTGCATCTAGTCCCCTCTCCTCCTGCTGATCAACCCACTCATCGCCGCTACCACCAGACCCTTCTAACTCTGTCCAGCCAGCCTCCCCTACCCAGCTCAAAAAATAAATAAAAGTCATTTAATGAATAAAAGAAAAAAAAAACGGCCTGCGGAGTTGCTTGGAACGAAGAGTTCACATGCATGACGCCATCAGCACAGAATACACAAAATCAAATCCGCAAACATAGAAATCGTTTCACAAAGTTCTGAGAACGAGCGATTAAAAAGGGTGGCGGTGAATCAAGAGAAAAATCTACACACTCCCAAGTTAAAATTAAAAATGTACAACGGATATATTTAAGTAACTCGTGTCGCAGAGGCGATCACCCACGGTGGTTTGTGTGTCTGTGTGTGTGTGTGTGCGTGCATGCTGCAGACTGGGGAAAGGTTGAAAAGAAATGGTCGAGGACAGGAGGGAGGGAGGGAGGGAGGAGGAACGGGGTGACCTTCTTTTAAGTTACAGACACTGAGTTGAAATGAACAAAAAAAAAGTTTTGTCTTTTCTCGCGGAAGGGCCGAGGGAGTTCCAGGAGAATGGAACGTTGTGTCAGAACGTTTGGAATCCCGCGGTCGCATGTAGCAACTGATTCATCCGGGCAAGGTTCTAAACTCGAACGCGGCGAGCGCCCACGTTCCATTCCCTGCTCATTGTTGCGAGCGAGAGGTTCCGCAAGATCGGGGAGAAAGAAAAAGTTTACAACTATGTCTTATAAAATAGAGCCAAGTTATTAATCAAACAGTGCAGTGTCAGACAACAGACTGCTGATCACATTTACTCGCGAACGTGTTACATTAAAATGCACTCACCAGCACGCAGCGTGAACTTCACTTTCTTTTTTTACAACCTCGCTGTTGATGTAGATAAAGCTCCACTGCTTTGCTTTTTTTTTGCTTTAAGGGGAGGTGCTGCCCGTGAATTACGTCCCGCGCAGGCGTATTCGGAAGCCTTTTGAAATCTTCTTGAATCAAATTCATTTGCATCAGGACGATGATGTCAGTCTCAACGCCAAATTAGGGAAGAGACGAACGCGGGAAATGCGCTCCCTCCACCCCTTTCCTTCCAGACGTCACAGGATGTTTGGACTGTACATGGTAAGAGGAAGAAGTGATTTGCGCTTTAAACTCTGCTCCGAGTCTGCATAAGTTTGGGGTGGCCACGCAGCAAGACACGGAATTGCTGCTCCTCCTCCTCTTGAGAGCAAAACAGACGTATGATCATTCCTGTTATTTTAGGCAGCTAGAGTTAGAGGGATTCCCATAATACCTGTCCGTCAATGTCCTGGGTGGGGTGAGAGAAGGAGAGATGGGCCAGTTCATATCCATCTGTAGGGAAACTGCCTGCAATATCTGGTCCACTGATTCAGCCACCCCTGCGTGTATCTAAAGCCGGAATTTATCTTAAAACTAAGGGGAGGGGAAGTTCGCACCGTTGGAAAATTCATTGTGTCGTTTTAGCGACAAGTTACAAAGATTTTTTTTATCCGCTCCTTCTACTCCTGTAGGAGCTGTGCATTTTTTTTTAAAAAAACAAAAACTTTAAAAGAATGTAAGAGGGCATTATCCCGAAAAATCTGCACACCTAATGGTGCAGGTTTGAACTGTTATAAACATTGTAATCGCAGCAGACAGTTCTCACGCAGCAAACTCTTATAAACAGTCATGTGATAATGACCAGCTAATCTGCTTTTGTGATGTGGATTTCAGGGATAAATGCTGAGCAGGAGGCCAACTTCCCTGCTCCTCTTCGTATTACCTGCCACAGGCTATATTCTGCCCACCCAGAAGGCAGATATTGTCTTAATTTAACGTCCGGCAGGTTATGGAGCTGAAGGGAATTATCCAAATAGGAATTAAGGGGACGAATCTTAAGACAAGGACGAGAATTTTTAAATCATGGGAGGTTTGTAAAATCATAAGGGACATAGATAAGATGAACGATAGGGGTCGTTTCCCTAGGATGGGGGAGTTCAAAACTGGAAGGCGATCCTTCCAGTGATCCTCAGGTTAAATCATCACTAGTCCCCTATCTAATGGGAGAGCAGCCAGTAGGATTATGGTGACTTTAACTTTATATGTGAATGGGATTTGGTGTTTGGATGCAGCAGATTTTGAAACAACTTCTGATTTACTATTGGAGGTCAGTCAAGGGTGAGTTAGAATAGTCATATGCAGAGGGAAACAAAGGTACAGATGAGAGGTTTGGCAGCTGAAGGCAGCACAGTGGCTCAGTGGTTAGCACTGCTGTCTCACTGCACCAGGGACCCCGGTTTGATTCCACTATTGGGTCACCGTCTGTGTGGAGTTTGCGCATTCTCTCTGTGACTGTGTGGGTTTCCTCCAGGTGCTCCCACAGTCCAAAGATGTGTAGGTTAGGTGGATTGGCCATGCTAAATTGCCCATAGTGTCCAGGGATGTGTAGGTGAGGTTGATTAGTCATGGGAAATGCAGGGTTATGGGGTGGGGTGCGTCGGGGAGGGATTCTATGATTCTGCTGAGACAGGCAGAGTTGGAAATAAGATATTTTATTAATAGTATGGGCATATCATTAGAAGCTTATCATGTGATCAAACAGGCCACTGAGGTTGTGAACAGCCCAGTTCACCCTCTGACAAGATATTCATGAAAGAGAAGGTGACTGGGGAGTGAAGCCACTGGCTTCACTAATCCCAACATCGAATCAGGGGAAATATTAGCTTATCCAGTGCAAGGTGTCAGATAAGCAATCTGTTTGTTGACTAACAACGGAAGAATTGCAAAAGGCAGTGGTGAAGTGGAGCTGGATGTCATTAGGGTTCACGTGAAAATTGTTATGACCAGCTGAGGGAGGGAATTAGTTCACCTGTTTTTAACCCACTCTTAGTCAATGACAGCAATTTTTTTGTTAGAATGTGTAATGGACCAGACCAGATGCCCCCAAAAGAATTGTATGGAGAGAGCCTAGATGCTATCATGTATTTATTTAAAGGCAAGCCTAAAGTGCTGTGTTCGAGATGTGATTCAATTGGTCCACTACTAGGCTTTAATTAAAACAAACTTTATTCTTACAACACAGTTTTAAAAAAAAATTGACATAACCTTAACTCTGTTGAAATGCTTAACAAGATAATATTTAATCACTATTTAATTTATTTAATCACTAATCATCAACTGTTCCAATGTAGGCAGCATCCCACAAAAACACCTCTGGTAAAAATGCAATTCAGTAAAACAGCCATGGTCCTCACATGCTACATCTCTCTCGTCCAGAAGAAAGAAACAATTGATTTTTAAGAGGAAGCCTCTTGTCTAGGACTTCACTATAGCAGCTTCCAGCAGCTAGCAGAAACCTCCTGCTGTCTGAAGGCAAAACTAAAAGTCTTCCTGGGTCCGTGTGAGCCCTGATTCCTTTGTCTTGTTCTTAAAGTACCCAGGGAGAACTCAAAAGCTGTATACCAACTGCATGTCCAGCACCACTGTGGTAACACTGCTCTGTAAAAGAAACAGGATAGAACATCTCTCTTTAAGGGCACAGTCTCATCATAAATGCAGCTATAACACTTAATTTAAAACATCATTTGTCAGAAAATGAAGGAGTCAATCTAGCAACACAGCATGGAGCTGGAGGAACACAGCAGGCCAGGCAGCATCAGAGGAGCAGGAAAGTTGACGTTTCA